CTTCATCCATGCCCTGGACATACAATGTAAAAGCTAAAAACTACAGTACAGAAGGTCTAAGGAATGCTTCACCATTATTTAGGAATAATAGAATAGTATGTAGCTGGTGCTCAATTCCTGGTACCTATTTATTATTTTGTGCCTATTTGTTATTATAAGTTAAAACTTTTCAAGTAACTACTCTTAAGACTCAGCCACACCGGGGCTATGCTGTTGAACTTTCATATGCAATGTGATTTAAGATGCAAAAACTCAGATCTCAGGAAATGAAATATTTGCCTATTGTGTGATTCTTAGCTCATTCATAAGACCAGACTTACATGTCTCTGTGTGGGGATAGGTTTCATCTGAAGTGGATGGAAGGGGATCCCTGGGTGGCCCAGCGGTTTGGCGCCTGCCTTTGGCCCAGGGCGCTATCCTGGAGACCCGGGATCGAGTCCCACATTGGGCTCCCGGTGCATGGAGCCTGCTTCTCCCTCTGCCTATGTCTCTGCCTCTCTCTCTCTCTCTGTAACTATCATAAATAAATAAAAATAAAAATAAAATAAAATAAATGAAGTGGATGGAAGTTTCCACTGCTAATCAGAATGAAGGAAGCTGGGTGGATTACCCTAATAGCTGGGATGGAACCAAGAGATGTTGATGCATCCATCTTTGGGATATGAGCTCAGACACCAACTCTATCTTGCCCAGAAGATATTATTGTTCCAGAATTGACAGCTTTTCATGTTCTCCTTACTAAGGGTTCCAACAATCTTGGGTTTAGCTTCACCCAGGATCACCTGTTACTACAGCAATGATCTTCTTTATTAAATGGCCTTAGGTTTGACGTCATATGAATTACGGTGGTCATAGAAAAATCAAGGAAGATCAACCAAGTAAAACCAAGTCCTCTATCATTTCACTCCAAAAAGGAGGAAAAAACCTTTCACCCATTATCATTATCACCGCTGATTTCTTCAGAAGTTCTTAGGCTGTGGTTGTGGATGCAGATTTTACAAATTTTGATTTTGTTTGAAGGTTTTATTGTTGGTGACAAATATAATCAATTGTTTTCCTTGAAGGTTCATGATTTATTTATTTATTTATTTTAAAGGTTTTATTTATTCATGAGACACACACACACACACACACACACACACAGAGGCAGAGACACAGGCAGAGGGAGAAGCAGGCTCCATGCAGGGAACCCGACGTGGGACTCGATCCTGGGTCTCCAGGATCAGGCCCTGGGCTGAAGGCTGTGCTAAACCGCTGAGCCACCAGGGCTGCCCATGTTCATTTTTAAAAAAGATTTTATTTATTTATTTATTTGAGAGAGAGAGAGAGATCAAGAAAGAGAGAGAGAGAGAGAGAGGACAGCAGGGGAAGAGGCAGAGGGAGAGAGAAAGGGAGAAGCAGACTCTCCACTAAGCAGGGAGCCCCCTGAGGGGCTGGATCCCAGGCTCCTGGGATCATGACCTGTGCTGAAGGCAGACACTTGGACTGAGTCACCCAGGCGCCCCCACACTTTCATTTTAAAGAAAATGCCCAATATCCAAGTCTGAAAAACTGGAGTTTTTCTGCCAGTCATTCCTTCAAGTAAAAATGATGCTCTATACAGAAAAACAGCTCATTCAGGGCATAACTCAAATGATCATGCAAATATATTGTTCAAGGCAACCATTGTTTTAAGCTATGCAGCAGAAGTGCTTTGTGCACACTTCCCACTTTATCACAGAGGATATAAAAAAAAGCATGCACTCAAGAATTGAGATTGAATAAAATTAGTAATTTATTATAAATAAGGACTTTTTCCACAACATTTTAAAATGAAGCCGGATTAAAAAATTTTTTTTGAATATGTGGCTGTAAAAAAATCGATTGCTGCTAGTACAGTTTTGCTATGGTAAGTCTCTAGCAGTTTTACCCACCATTGCTTTTGTAGCATTAATGTAAATGTCAACCTAGTGAAAAGAGCAAATACCATGTTGAATTGTTTTGAAAATAATTTTGACCTTACAGTTTCAGGGACCTGCAATGGTTTGTGGGCTATACAATGAGAACCACTGACATGCAATATGATTCCAATTCTGTGTAAAAAAACAAGGAGATGACATGAACATCTGAAAGAATTTGCCTGAATTTCAGTTGCAGGGGCCTTTTTAGACTGATGCCACAGACTCATATAGGATGAGTGTCTTTTTATGCCAATAATACAGAAGCACATCACAGCTTTTAATAGTTGCATAATATTTTACTGTGTGGACCTACCACCTATCATTTAGATGGTTCCATAGGGTTAGAAATTTAAGCTTCTTCTAATTTTTCCTCCTTAGAAACAGTGCTGAAGTGAACATACTTTGTGTATTTCTCTGTGTAAAATTATTTGATTATTTCCTTAGGAAAAAAAATCCTACAAGTGGAATGCTTTTCTGAAAGTAGATACATCTTTATAGCTTCTTTTTCCTTTTTTTTTTGTTTGACTTCAGGTTTTTTATTTAGATTCTAGTTAGCTAACATAAGTGGTAAAAAATAACTAATCTTCTTCTGTCCATTCATCAGTTGATGGATATTTGGGCTCTTTCCATAGTTAGGTTATTGTAGATAACGTTGCTATAAACATTGGGGTGCATGTGCCCCTTTGAATCAGTATTTTTGTATTCTTTGGGCAAATGCCTAGTAGTGCAATTGCTGGGTCATAGGGTAATTCTATTTTCAACTTTTGAGGAATCTCCATACTGTTTTCCAGAGTGGCTGCGCCAGTTTGCATTCTCACCATCAGCGCAGGAGAGTTCCCCTTTCTCTGCATCTTTGCCAACATCTGTTGTTTCCTGTGTTGTTAATTTTAGCTATTCTGACAGGTGTGAAGTGGTATCTCATTGTGGTTTTGATTTGTATTTCCCTGATGATAAGAGATGTTGACCACCTTTTCATGCATCTGTTGGCCATCTGGATGTCTTCTTTAGAAAAATGTCTATTCATGTCTTCTACCCATTTCTTAACTGGATTACTTATTCTTTTGGATGTTAAGTTTGATAAGTTATTTACTAACCCTTTATCAGATATGTCATTTGCAAATACCTTCTCCCATTCCATAGGTTCTCTTTTAGTTTTGTTGATTGCTTCCTTTGCTGTGCAGAAGCTTTTTATCTTGACAAAGTCCCAGTAGCTCATTTTTGCTTTTGTTTCCCTTGCCTCCTGAGACGTGTCTAGTAAGAAGTTTTTGTGGCCCAGGTCAAAAAACGTTGCTGCCTGTGTTTTCCTCTCTAAATCTTTATAGCTTCTTATGCAGATTACCAAATTGCCTTCCAGATAAATTGTACCAATATATAATACCCATCTATCCGTTTTCTGAGTGAACCCCTCCTAGGAGTCCCTATCTCTATTCTTTCTTTAGGCCACCATACACTTGCATAAAAATGAGTGTTCTGTGAGGGCTGTCAGGAAAGCAGGCTGGGTTTGAAAAATCTCTGTGACTTTTCCCATTTTTTACTTTCATTGCTTCATTGGGCCAAGAAGAACAAAGAAGATGCAATCTGCTCTTAAATGAATTTGGGGTGGGGGTGGGATTCCCATAAAGGTCTCACCACTCCCCCTCTTCTAAGAGAAGACAGACCTAGATCTCTAACCTTTCTTTAAAAAATTTTTTTATTTATTTATGAGAGAGAGAGAGAGAGAGAAAGAGAGAGAGAGAGAGGGAGAGAGGCAGAGGGAGAAGCAGGCTCCATGCAGGGAGCCTGATGCGGGACTGGATCTCAATCCCAGGGCTCCAGGATCATGCCCTGAGCCAAAGGCAGGTGCTACCGCTGAGCCACCCAGGGATCCCCTTAGATCTCTAACCTTAGGGAAAGAAAACCACTCTTGGCGATGAATCATTCTTTGTGTCACAATGCTTTGTCTCATCATTAGAAATGATAACTCACTTTGGCATTTCATGATCACCACAACTGCCCAAGAAAGAGGGCTTTCTATGTCAGGACATGCACCAGATCATAGAATTCTCTGTCTTGGTCAAACTACAGTGAAGTCAGGTAGCAGATCTAGGTCCTCCCCCCCGCCCCCATAAGCATCTTTCGTTCCCACTATTCCCTAACAATTCTTACACTGTTTCATTTTTGGTTTGTCATAACTTCTTAACAACAGTTCTCATTTCCAGTCTTTTTTTTTAAAGATTTTATTTATTTGAGAGAGAGAGAGAGCTAGAGAGAAGACGAGTGGTGGGGGAGGGGCAGGGGAGAGGGAGAAGCAGGCTCCCCGCTGAGCAGGGAGCCCTACGCAATGTGCAATGAGGGGCTTATACCAGGACCCTGAGATCTTGACCTGAGCCAAAGGCAGACACTTAACCGACTGAGCCACCCAGCGCCCCTCATTTCCAGTCTTGATGCCTAACCCCATCCCAGTTCCAATCCACTTTGCACATTGCCACCAGGTTCTTTTTCTTTTGGTCAAAAATGTCCAGTAACTCCCAGGATATGACAGGGTATTTCAACCTCCACTGGGGGGTTCGGGATCTTCCCCACCCTTCATTTTCTTTCTTTTTTTTTTAAGATTTTATTTATTTATTCATGAGAGAGAAAGAGATAGAGAGAGGCAGAAACACAGGCAAAGGGAGAAGCAGGCTCAATGCAGGGAGCCTGACATGGGACTCGATCCCGCGTCCCTAGGATCACATCCTGGGCTGAAGGTGGCGCTAAACCACTGAGCCACCCAGGTTGCCCCCCAACCCTTCATTTTCACTTCCCACAGTTTCCATTTCAGGCAAATTGGTTACCTTATCACAGGAGCAGATTTCCCACTTCTTGCCTGTGTTCAAGACATTTTCCCCACCTGAAATGCCCTTCTGTATTTTCTTATGCTGTCCCTTCAGAGCCCAGCTTAAAGATTTCTAGCAACTTCATTTAACCAGACAGCATATATTTGACAATGAATATATGCCCAGGTGCTTTTAGTAAACCATTTGTGTTTATGTACCTTATCTCTCCAGCTAGATTTAAAATTCAAATATGAGAACTTTTTTTGTCAGTCAAAACATACACCTTTATTGATGATATACAAATGAAGTCTTTGGTGGATAAATTCAAGTCAAAACAAATGATAAAAGTGTAGGCTATATATGATGGACAGATTCACTCTGTCAATTCACATAGAGGAACCAGTAAAAATATTTCCATTCGAGCAGCACGATTAAAGTCACAAATGTGTTTTCAGTTTAAGAGGATTATTTATTTGGTATTCATAAAAGCTGGAGACTGTCACAGATAACATCATTCTGGATGATACATTATTCAAACTGGTGGCTGAAAGGATCCCTTTACTATATGAACAAGTGGAAAAGTAGCAACTTTCAATTTTCATTGCTTCCAGACTGGAACACCAAGAAATTTCTTCAAGTCGTTTGAGAGCACATAGCCAATCAGAATTTGTCCACCAGTTTTATAACTTTCACTTTCACCAAGAGGTCATGGTGATCTGCTAAGGCTCGAATTTTCTTAACGCACACTCCAGATGTGGTACATAAATAAAAAAGGGAACCTTTATTAAATTCTCTGTAGTTGAATACCTCTGCTCTGAGATTGTCATAGATGATCTCAAATAGAGTAAGGGCATTAATAAGAATTTCTGATTCCACATAAGAATTATAAAGGGAACTAAATGATGATGGCACTTGGGTGCTGAGCAGTTTTTTTAACATATCTGGATTTTCAGCAAAATTCGAAAGTATTTTCAAAATCTCAACCTTAATTTTTCCACCTCCCTGAGATAACAAACGGAAAAAGTTTGCAATCGAGTTGACAAGCAGGTGCTGGTAGTCATTGGTAATAGTCATGTTTGTTAAAAATTTCAGTCCAACTACCTGTACTGCTGAGTTCAAGTTAGAGGCCATGATATCATCCATCACTTTATTCATGTAGACCTGAAGTCGGCCCTGATTTTCATAGTTCTCACTCAGGTTATTCATGGCCATTAAGGCTTTTTCCTTAATGTGGGGATCAGTTTTGTTGATCATGTTTGCAATAATCGGGAGGCCTCCCAATTTTCGAATCGTGTCTTGGTTGCACGAATAGTTGGCATTGTTGCTCAGGGTGAGCAAAGCTACCTGTTGGATGAAAGGATCATCCGATTTCTGAAGCAACGCAAGGACTTTCCTGAGGTCTCGGACACCGAGAATCTCATCTATTTCATAAGGAAAGGGGCGCTTCTGCATGGGGACAGGTCTCCTCCCTCTTCCTCTCTGCTGCGTTTCAGGCTCAGAGTCTGACTCTGACTCTGTGTCAGTCCACCCGGACTCCCCTTCCTCAGAATCGGGGACCTCTGCCAGGAAAGCCTGTCCCCCATTAGCGGATGCTGCAGCAGCTGCTGCAGCCCCATCCCCAGGGCGGAAGCCCAGCCCCAATTCATCCACTTCAACCTTGTTTTTCTTGCCTTTGCCCTTGCCCCCAGTCCGAGACCTGGTTCCTTTGGCTCCACCTTTGGGTACAGCTCCGGTTGCTGACCCAGCCTTAGGTATAGCGCCGGTATGAGCCCCAGGGGTCGCTTTCTTGGAGGGTGCCACTGATCTAGGGGATCCTGAAGTCCCAGGAGCCTCTGCAGCCCCAGAAGGCACTGGAACAGCAGTAGGTGGTGTGGGTACAGGAGCCTCCACAGCCTCCATAGGTACTGTGGCCTCGGTAGGCGCTGGCACCCTTGGAGGCATCGTTGGCACCCCGGGAGCCTCTGCTGTGCCAGGGGCCTCTGGCAACTTGGGAGCCCTTGCCACTGTGGGGGCCTCTGCAGCCACGGAAGCCTCTGCCTCCCTGGGAGGTGATGCCATTGAGGAAGTCCCTGTGGCACCCATTACTGGTTCAGCCTTAGGCCCAGCCCCTGCCCCTTCTGCCTCTTGGACCTGATGTCCTGCCCCACTCTGTACCTCAGCACCGGTGGCAGCTGGGGCCACTGCCTCAGCTCCAGCTGTGTCCAGAGCAGAGGCTTCTTCCTGGGCCCTGTTCTCCGCCTGAGTGCGGACTGGGGTTGGAGGGCCGAATCCTGGCCCAAGGTCAATTGTGAATCCAGCCCTTAGTCTGGCTCTAGCCCTGGCTCCGGTTCCAGCCATAGCCCTGGTCTTAGGCTTGGCCAGTCTTTTCTTTGTCTGGTTTCTTCCCCTGGCATATTTGTAGACACAGTACCAGGCACTCGCTCCGATCACTATCCCGGCAGCTACGCAGCCAGCATCTCGAACTCGGCTCATGGTGCAGCTGGAGTAATTCTCTGATCCACAGTGTGGAGCTGGCTTGCCTAAACGCGGTTTGCACGTCTGGGCAAGGCACTTCTACTCAGGCTCACAGGTTTTGCCCAGACTGCAAGCCGAGCAGGACCTGGGACAAAGGGGCAGAAATGAAGCTTAAGGCTCTGGCTCACTTTGTGCTTAACCAGGCCTATGGAGGAGAGCTCAGAAACAATGTTCAGTGAGTGAGCTACTACCCAGACACAGGTGGCAAGGCCTGTGTGTGCTGATACAGGACCCAGGTTGTCTAAGGTTTTCTACACCTTCATCCCTAGCTGGTCCTACCCAATGCCAACACACAATTTCCCAGCACCTAAATGGGAGATGAGAGGCATAAGGACATTAGGAAAGCTGTTGGAGAGCAGGAAGAACAGTAGAGGCCCCCAGATGCTGCTCTGATCCCCCACACTCACCCCCAAGGGTTCCCAGATGGTGATCATGCCCATACCAACCTGCTGGGAGCAGGAGCAGTTTACTTTTTTCTATCAGGCCTGTACTTGTGCAGGGCCCCAAATTCAGACAGACCTGCAGAGAGATCCGAGAAACAGTGTTTTGACATTTTTGGTAGTTGGATTCCATTTTCTTTCCTGATTTGAATCCTTATGGGCCAAGTTTTCCCCTCTCAGGAATTCTCTTTCCCTCTGTAACCCTTCCTCCTCAAACCATTAATTAAGAAGGCCAGTGCCACACCTCTTTCTCTGCACCAAAAGATAGGCCCAAGGCAAGAGTGTCTTGTAAAGAGGGAGAAGATGGGGGAAGAGGAGCCTCTGGTCCCAGACTCTGCTCTGGTTTCTGCCATACACACACCAGGGGTTCCCAGACACCTCCCACCCCCAACACTGACCTCCACGGATTCAGGGTTGTTTCCTCTTCCTTCAGTTCAGTGAAAGCTTCATCCGAAGAACAGACTGAAGGGCAGAGAGCCTGGTGGATGGAGGAAACTCGGACAGAAGTCCCTATAACTGTCTTCTAGTATTCACGCAGCAGAATGACAATCTTTCAATTCCATGAACTCTTCTTACCCCTCCCAAACCACACCAATCTCCTGCCCCGGGGCAGACTCCTCAGGCACTCAATCACTCCTTCCTTTTGCCCTGCTCCGCCCGTCCGCCATTTCTCTGGGACACACAGCCACACCCCTTCTCCTGCACCGGAGCGGGAGGGGGCGGGGCGATAGCGCAGCAAAAACTGGATGGGACGCGTAATGAGGGATGACTGCCAGTCTAGTGTCTTCCTCCCAAGACCACCTGTCCTTCGATCCCCAGCCCCCAGACTTAACATAAGCCTGCAGAACAAGGGGCCCCAAATCTGACCTTTCGGTTTGAGGGTCATGATTTTCCACTGTTTCTACGTTCTGGGCTCCGCCTCCCACCCCCCACCCAAATCCCCCTATAACCGCCATGTCTCCTTCCAGCGTACGAGAACTCCCTTTCCAGGACTGAATTAACAAGAGTGAAGAGCCATGTGGGTTGGAGGTGTCTGGAAAGCAGCCTGTGAGTTAGCACGACGGCTTAATACCCGATTTCTCTCAGGGTCCCCCCCTCCTGTGAAGCCCAGACAGCGCCAAACCCGCCATCTCCCCTACAGAGGCTGGCACACCCATTTTGCGGCATCCCCAAAGGGCAGCGGGCCGGCCGGGGCAGGGGGTGGGAAGGTGGGAAGGGGGTAGTCAGGGGAGGTATCTGCAAAGTGAGGGTGCGAGTGAACGGGCCGGCTCGTCTCCAAATTGCGTCCCCCTCCGGTAACCCTTGCCCAACCACCCAGCTGGCCTTCTGTGCGCTGCCACGTTTATTTCTCTTCCCTTCTCCTCTCTGAACAGGACGCGATGTGGGGTGCGGGGCCTGAGTGTTAAAACCAAAACCAGCAAACACTGACTGGGAGAAGAAGTCAGCGGATTCTCCGCAAGTATACCCGAGTCTTTAGGTTCCCCCCACCCCCTCTCCCCGCCGCCCACCAAAATGAGCTGCGACTCCGCGCGGGGATCTGGAAAGCCAGCCAGGAGTGGGCGAGGTGAAGGCACCCGCGGCCTCAGACTCCCGCATCTCTGAGCTACCCGTTTCAGGAGTGCCAGGCTCTGCCCACCCTCACACCCACCTGCCCGGATCTGGGGGAATTTTGTCCTCCTCCTCCTCGCCTGGGTTAAACGCACGGCAGTGCGCAGCGCAAGAGAGTTGGTACCCAGAGGAGGACGGAGGACGGCAGTCAGGGCTTTAAGTACCTTTGCCCACGTCAGCCCCCGGTCACGTGAGGGCTATATCACCAGTAAGCTCGAGTCCCCAATTTCCACTCCCACCAAGAGCACAAGCCCCCTCCTTCAGCCCCACTCCCACCTCACCACATCAGGTCCTGTCACTCATTTTTTTGGCGGGGGGGGGTGTCTTTGTCGTCCCAGAGGCCAAAAGTAGCCCCTTCTCCCACTGTTACAATTTGCCTTTTTCTACACACGGGAGATGGGATGCATCTTGGACGGCTATTGGGAACTTTTACTTTTGTGTGTGTGTGTTGGGGAATTGTTTCTTTCTTTCCTGGGCAACTGGACTCTCTCCCCTCCCACCACCTTCAATCCCTCATCCACTAGTTCCCACCCTTTCCCTTGCCGTTGGCCCCTGCTCCAGAATAGGTAAGAGGCAGTGTGTCAGAAAGGAGACAAGGAGTGGGAATGGGGTCTGTATTTCTGTGACACTTCTCCGATTTGTTTTTTTTTAAAGCGATTACTATCCTTTATTATCACAGTAAGAAAATACCACAGTGTGGGAAGCAGCAATAAAAAAGAGCTCCATGAAAAAAAAAAAGAGCTCCATGATTTCTAAAGAAGATTTCCCACTAATAGAAGAAGGCACCATTAATTTTGGTTAATTTTTACCACACAGAAAATGAATTCTGTTGCCACATAGGAAATAGTTTTCAGAACATGCTAAGATATTTGAACATCTAAAAATGGAACTTTCTTCAACAAGATAAGCATGTTTTCATGTGATCTGTCAATTGATCCATGGAGAGATGTTCAGTTGTCCAATCTTATTTATTTTGGACACATAAATATTCTACTTTTTCTCCTTATGGGACAGCTTTTAAGTTGGATAAATAAATGATCCTGCCTTGTTCTGTTAGAGAAATGCATTTATTTAATGTTCCTAAACCATTGCTGACTGCTGTGTGAACCTCCTGTAATTCAATGGCTATAACCATGACAGTTTTGAACACCTGTCCCTGGATTAGGTTCCAGTTTCATGATTCAGCTCTGGGCAAACGGAAGACCTGTTAGGCCAAGGAAGGGACAAAAAGGGATGCAGAGATGGCCAAATCCCCCCTGTTTTGTCAAGGGTGGGGGAGATGCTGACCCCTCTACCTCCTCCCATATTCCAGAGCCTCTTATTCCCTGCATTCAGCTTCTTGATTCTGTTGCTCACTCTAAAAGTACACATGGACAGGTGACCAAGAAGGTAAATGCCACCCTTACTCAGGGGACCAACTTGAGGAACTGTCTTTGGCTTCTTCCCTTTCTTCCTCCCCCCTCCCAAATTCCCTCAGGGATGTAGAAGGGAGTGCTGTTCCCACATATCCCTGCAGCTGTGGGTTTCCACGAAGAAGAAGTGATTGCTGGCTGGAGGAAGCACTCAGGTCTGCCTGTTCTGCCCTCGATCTTGGTGCCTTATTAACATTGCTCCTAACACCGTCTGCTGCTACCACCTGGCTTGAGAGGCGCAGCCAGCTGGGCCTCTTACCTCTGGCCTCCTTGCCACAGGGCACCCAGGGAGAACCTAGCCTTGCTGTAGGGTCACTGCCTGCAGCCCACACTCACTTTGCTGCCCCCTGGCCAGATGTGTGCTCAGACCCCAGGGGGTCTCCCTCCTGACCATACTGATTAATCTCCTCGAGTAGGCTTTCTCAAGGAGCTGCCTCTGTGCTGTACCTGAAATTGTACACAAGGTTTTGTTTGTGAGTGGGTGTGTGACTAAGTGCATTTTTTTTGGCGAGGGAATAGAGGCCATTGACCTCATCCGTTTCTCAAAGGGTCTGTAACTGCTCCCCTAGATATTAAGAACTGATACAATGGCTTAGAGAGTGTTATATATAATCATCCAGATTAGGAAGCTTCTGTTTTTTTTTTTTTTTCTGGTGAAAAAGGTAACATATATAAATGGTTACAAATATTCAGAATAATAAAGAAATATATAAAGTATACAGAGAAAGAGCTCTGTGTGGGGCACCTGGGTGGCTCAGTCAGTTAAGCATCTGCCTTAGGCTCTAGCCATGATCCCAGGGTCTTAGGATCAAGTCTCAAATAGAGCTTCCTGCTCCGTGGGGAGCCTGCTTCTCTTTCTCCTCCCCATTTGTGCTCTCTTTTGCTATCTTTGTCGTGCTCTCTCAAATAAATAAATACAATCTTAAAAAAAGGAAAGAGCTCTGTGATATCTCTTCCACTCTCAGCCACTGCTAACAATTTCCATTGTCCTTTACATGCACATATTAGGTGCGTTTGTGGTTATTAATCAAATTCCAGATTTAGCAACAATAAGCACATAATAAACATTTGGAATTTTTATTGTAATTGTAGCAAATCTGCAGATTAATTTGAAAAACATTAACATCTTAAAATTGGGACTTCCCCTCCAGAAGTACTGGTATATCTCCATTTTGTTCAAGTCTATTTTTATGTTTTTTTTTAAATTTTCATGTTTGTTAATCAAATTTCATTTCATAAGTTTCTTCAGCTAAATAATTCCTATGACTTGTTAGGTTTTTCCTAGGTATTTAGTAATCTTTGTTGCTGAAATGCTGTTCTTCAATTATAATTTCTGATAGGGAATTTTCTGCTTAAGGAAAATGTTCTACTATTATATATTTATTTTGTATCTGCCAATTTTTGTGATCTGGCTTATTAATTCCAATAGTTTTCAGTTGATACTTTTGGTTTTTCCAGGTATTTATACATAATCATCTACAAATGATGAATTTTTTCATTTCTTCCTTTCTGATATTTATACTTTTTTTCTTTTCTTTTCTGCATGTGTTACATTGATCAGAACCCCCATTTCTATGTTGAGAAATGGTGGTGACTGAGAGCTTCCTGATCCTATTTTTGAAGAAAATGGGAATGCCTCTTTTGTTTCATCATTTACTGTAACTTTTGCTGTTTCTGATATATTCTCTCCTTTTTTCTTTTTCTTTTTTTTAATATGTATGAAGAAATATTTTAATGACTGAGGAGAGCTCTTACCAAGTATTTAGGTTGATATTTTTGCCATAGAATTAAACTACTAAAGCCTCATAGAACATTTGAAAAATACAAAAAATAGAGGCACAAATTAATATTTCCCATAAAATATTCTGATGTCTTCATATCCATGTTTTTTTCTCCATGCATTAAATAATGGAATCATTGATTTCCAATTTTCAGATAGTTTCTAATTATGAAAAACTTGCTCATTGTAAAATGCAGAAAAAGATAGATTAGGAAAGACAGATTACTTACGGCCTTACTGCCTGAAGTGCCCCCAACAAGGTTCTCAAAGGCAAAAACCTGAAAGTGATACTGGTTAGGGAGAGAAGGATGTAATTGGAAAGATTGGAAATAGGATACATTGTTAATAAGGAGTTGCATTTACTAATGTCATTCTCTCCTTTTTGAAGGTTTTTTTCACTTATGTTTACCAGTACTGCAAAAACAAAACAAAACAAAACAAAAAACAATACAAAGAAATAATGTCTGGATGAAGTCAAGTCATATGTTCTGTGGTCCTGGTAGCCCACAAGGAGTGAGGAATTTGCCAGGTCAGAAGATCCTCTGATATATTCTTTATCAGGATAAGGAGGATTTTTCTTTCATATCTGATTTAATATAACCAAGAATGATTTTTAAAATTATGTACAATTCTTTACTGCATAAACTAAGTTTCTGTCTATTCCTATTTTACTAATAATTTTTAAATATTTAGGAATGGCTAAGTTTATCAAATGCTTTGATGGAAAGGTTTCTTTTCTCCTTTGGTTTGCTGTTGCAATCAGTGATTTATATAGATTGGTCTCCCTGCCACTCTAGTCTCCCTATAGACTATTCTCCACACATGTCTCAAGTTCAAACTCGGCCCCACCCCACATCCCCTGATGGTTAGAGTAAATGCAAATGTCCTTACTAGGACTTACAAGGCCCTACCTTCCTCAACCTTATTACCTTTCTGCTTCATCTTCTATTATTCT